CGACCGACAAAAACAGGGGCGAGTATTTAAAAGAATATACTCGTTGCACTATTGTAAACGTTTAAAGGAAAGCAAAGCATTTTTACACTATAATTAGGAATAATCTGCGAGTGCGAATCGGACACACTTAAGCCTCACTAAAATTTAACGATATAATCAATAGTCTTGGAATTGCCGTTAAAATTTCAGTGCAACTTAATTTGATTTGCTTGTATCACTTTTGCCATCGCTGATTAATTGATTGAATTAATCGATGTTGATCTTGGCAAAAATTACGGAAAGCAAGCTTTTCCCATTGCAATTTGTTGTTGTTATCATTTCGTGCGTCTCACTCTTTGTCATTTATGTCAGTTAATTATCCACTTCGTTCGAATAATTATGAGTGTCATTCGATATATCTCTTGGAATCAGATTGCAATTTAAAGCCGATAATAAAAACGTTCAATATTTAAAAAAAAAATCAAACGCTTCTGTACAATATATGCGCAAGTGATTGATACACTTTTCCTCCCCACCGCAACACCAATCCATTAGTCATATTCACGCATACTCGACACCACACATACACACAAATTATGCATACGACGATGATCAACGGAATAATTACAACTTATCGAATTCAAACGAACGAAATTTGTATGAAAATGAAAGCAACAACAATAATCATAATGAAAGAAATACACAATATCAAAAATTACCTGGATTGTCACTAATTGCTCACGATTATTTTGAATAAAACTAAAACTGTTCACTTTCTTCCACGGCAACAATTCGTCCGATGAATCGAATTGTTGTGTATCGTCATTGTTTTCGGTATTTTGTTCCAGTGGCAGCATGCAAAACAACACAAAATAATTTTCAAATGAAAATAATATACTAAACTATAACATATGCCGTACACACAGAAAGATGAGAGTGACGATTCTATTTATTCCGCACATTCGGCAGAGTGTGTGATCTGAGCGAGATTAATTCATTTGCATTGTCAATTTGGACGATGTGTGTGTGTGTGTCTGTATGCTGCTGCTGCTGCTGCTGCTTGTCTTTTTTTTCGGTGTATTATAATATCTTTTGTTTGCTCTGTCTCTGTCACTCGGCTCTGTGTCTCCGGCGTTGAGTCGTGCCGTTGTAATGAGATGAATGTATTTTAATTTAAAATAACTGAGAGCTACCTCTTTCGCATTTCGTCTAATCACACACGAGCGCTCTGGATCCCTTCTTATCTGTCTAATTATTATGTTTAAAGTCAAAAAATATAATAATAATGTGAAGCAATGTGACGAATGAATAATGAGCGAAAATAATGTCGTCTATCGACTTCGAGTGTATACACTTTAAGCCGCACACGATTCTCGGTTGTATTCAATTTGTAGCATATTTGTATGCTGTTTTTCTGTCTGTTTTTTTCTTCTCTCTCTCTCTCTCTCTCTCTCTCTCTCTTTAAACCTCTTTCTCTGTGTGGCGCTCCTGCTTTTTTCTCTTTTCAAATATTTGACATACGGCACACGATGCGAACACAAATAAAACAACTGTTGATGCTGTAAAATCCAATACTATAACACCAACACTCATTTACAAAATACATTATTAAACATCTATATTTTTTTTTGTTGGTGTCTCATATTTTTCCGTCTAAATGTATTTAATATAAAAACAATTTGATGCCAAAGAATTTATCACAATGCTTAGCAAAGCACATGCGCTTCAAATCGTGCGATTATTCATTTAAGAAGAATAGAAAAAAAACCGAATCATGATCACGTTTCGATACGAAAAAGCCGCCCGGGATATTTCTTCATTTAAATGTGTTGTCGTGCAAAATTGACAATCGAAACATGCTGGATGAATGCGGCATACATCGATGCACATATATAAATAAAAAAAACACATACACACATTTCTCGCTTATGCATCGTTTTTCCGTATTTTATGCCCATTTGGCTCAAACGAAAGCATCTCAAATTTGCACTTTGGATTCAACTGCCTCCAATTGATTACTCAATAATTATCACGTTTCGTTTCTATATGCTTTCTTTTTCTGTCTTCTTCTCGTCATTATATGATTAACAGCAGTGAAATGAGTGTGCACGAGATTAAGTGTCTCAACAAGACAGCTCAATGTAAAATAAATCAATTTCAGTTTGATCATCATTCAAACGGACATTTATTGGCTGATTTATCACAATTCGACACAAGTTCAAATAAGTCATTGTATTTTCGATTGGAAGCAATGATTTCATTATTATTCTCATTTTTTTCTTTGGCTACAAACTACAAACTCATAACATTATCGTACCCAAATCAAACACGAAATAATTTGATAGCCAAGAAATCGTAATATAAAATACAAGATAATTATTCCAAATATACAGCCAAAAATTAATGCAGCACATTCCATATACGAAACATTTGTCTTCTCCGGATTTGTGTGTGTTATTAAACCGCCCTTTATTAAGCGAAAAATCAAAAAGATAAAATTAAATTAAAATGGTGACCATTTGTCGAAATAAAATTGAATTTGTCGAGAAATGATAACGTACCCAACCACCATTTTCGTTGATCCATGTGGCCAATTCATCCTCAATAACATCGCCTACACCTTCAACCAATTTTGGTAGGTATTCGGGATGGTCCTGCTTAACACAATCAACCGCCAGCGCCGATACAATCGCAAAGAGTGATATGACCTACATTTCGAAAAGATAATCATTTACTAAACTAGAACTCGTGGAAAATCGTCATATTTTCAGTATTATCAGTTTGTGACATCTACCGCACAATATGCAATTTAGTATTGGATTGTGATACATACCTTTCCCCATGATATGTCGGTGCGAAAAAGATCGCGAGCAACAGCACTTAAGATCGCTGGTGCTGTGTCGCTGCTTTGTAAATCACTGCTTGACGGTCGTGTGATTTGTCTTGTGACATTTGTATAAAGCGTAGGGTGCATTCGTTCCAATTCTTCGCCAACCTTTTCAAACATAATAGTTTATTATATCGATTTGTACGCACTTATACTATTTGTTAGCATTGTGTACGAGATTTTTTTTTTCAAATTGTTTAAAAAATACTTTTTTTTGTTATTTACTATTGTTATCGTTCTTACTTCGTAATAAAAAAAAAATAATGGTATTAAATCTTACATGATTTAAAGCCGGAAATACTTCGCGTACAATGTGTGCTGACGGTGTGCCAACAATACTCCGAAGTCGTTGTAAGCCTAATTTTTTTGTAAACAAACCGGATCGTTTTAATCGATTCCGAATGTATTGACCACATAAACATTTTCCTTGTGTGACCAGATCTTGGGTTGGTATTATTACCGGTAATTTCCATCCAATGGTGCTGGACAATTTTCGTGTGACATCGCTGACTGTGCTGAAACGTCGACGAGCCGACAATGAATTCATTTCACCCAATAGTGATGACGATTGCAGTGCAACGTTTAAGCTAAATTTTCGTTTATTCTCAACAACCGGCAAGAGATCCATGGATTTGGTTGATAATGTTGGTGACGTTGGTCTTGACTTTGGCAACGACGATGGCCCCAACGAATTTGGATAGATATTTTCGGCGGACAACATTATGTTTAACAAATGATGAATGGAAGGCGCCGTAAGTTCTGAAATCAATTTAAAAACAAATAAGAAATCGTTTTTGAAATAAAAATTTATTTTCGAATAGGTTAATCACATGCAAATTGTCAATTTCTACGGTCACGATTGAATAATTGGGCTTAATTATATTCCTCGAATTGAATATTTCTGGGTTTTTGTTCAATGAACGTGAAATTTTTTTGACAGAAGAAGAAAGTGCAATACTAATTATGCTTCTGAAAATAAAAGTGCGTAAATGAACGAAAATAAAGATGTGTATGCGCGGGAGTGACAAAATTCGTGACTCAATTCAATCTAAGTCTCACGACAAGTAGCCGAAATAGGGCAACGACTTTCATTAAGACAATGCAATTCAATTTCACACTCAACAAATCATTAAATGTCACCCAAATCCGTCTGTGCAGTTAAACACATTTTTAGTTTCTTTTTGATTAATTTGGCCACATTCATCTGGATTACAATGTTATTATTGAGCATTCTTTTGACACGAATTCATTTTGATCGTGAAGGAAAGCAAGGCACCCGCTTGAATGTCTGTGTGTATGTTTTGGTGGGCGCGTATAAAAACACCAATTATTTGTTACCAATGGTCAGTTTTGAAATTGATGTGCATTAACCAAGTTAATTGAAGTGTATAGTTCTGTATTCTTTTGTGGATAATGTGAAGCAATTAGCCATTTAGAGTTTGACCAAAAAGTATAGGTGTCTTTTTGAAAAGTATGTTTTCTACAAATCTTTTTATTGCTACGGTGATTTTTTGTGGTCGCATTAGAGCCGATGTGTCACATCTTAAATCATTGGCCGGCTCAATAAGTAACAATCATTTTCGAGGATTTAATGGATATAATTATAATCCGCCATCGCATCAATTACCCAGTCCAGCACCAAATCCACCGACTTCAACATTTCGGCCAGAAATTATCGTTAACAAAGGTATTAAATGGAACACATTTTTTTCTAGTAACGATTCGAACAATGGCATCAATACACAATAAAATTTGCAAAATAGGAAATTCATTTTTCAAGTCAAAACTGACGAATTCAATAGAATTGAACGAAAGAAGATGATGTAGATTTTAATGTTTCCGAAATTTTCTGACATTTTAATTTATCCGTATCCGGGTGATTTTTCAAAAAAAATAAGCTAATAAAGAGCACAATTTGGGTCATTTTTAAACGTCCAAAAAAAATTAATTAGAAAAATCATTGAATCTCGTGATCCAATAAAAAATATTTTAGCAGAGCCATCAAATACATATTTGCCACCATCGACTGAAAGTCCGATAGTGATTCATCCACCAGATGACTTTGTTACAGACGGCTATTTACCGCCATTTCTCGAAGAATTTCCACCTCTGCAAACTGAACCACCGCCCAATTATTTACCACCCGAAACTGTAAGCAACACTTCAAGTTCAATTATGTTGCTATGGAATGGTTCTACAATCAAGCCATTTAATCAAACACGTAATTTTTAATTAATTTCAGGTACCAGACAATCAATACTTGCCGCCGTCCGATGAAGCAAATGAAGGCTATCAATACTCAAAGCCAAAACAATCAAAACATCTACGAAATTCAAATTTATATCTGAATACGCGGTCGAGCCCTTTGCACATATCGGTGAATAATTTGCAGTGTTTGGAAGGGAATGGTGGTTATTTTCAGGCGAACATTGGTGTACAGAGTTTCATTGAAAATTTACCGATAATCGATTTGGACACAATCGATCCACACTGTCAATTACATTTGGTTGGTGTTCGATTGGTTTTGAGCATAGCAAATACCGATTTTCAACGATGCGGAATTGTTGCATGCGGTGCCAAAGAACTTTGCGTCAATTTAAGATTTCCACAAATTTTCGGTATGAAATCACTTAATGACAGTTTGCTAACGTTAAAGTGTAAGATACAAGAGAGAGTGGTTAGCCGAACTCATGCGTTTAGATTTGGTGTATCGCAAACGGGGTAATTTTTTTTCATTTTTCTTTAGACTTTCAAATAAAATGATTTCGTTTTTATGTCAGTCAAGCAAGAAATGCAGCTGTATTTGCCCATGGCGGAACGAAACAACATCTTCGTACACAGCTTGGATTGTATCGTCAATCGGGTAGTGGTTTCACGAAAAGTTTAGATGCCGGTGGCTTTGTTCAATTGGGCGAAGAGTTAATGCTTCGAGCTCAAGTAAAAGCTGGCGATGGTAATTTTTTTTTCTTTCGATTTCCAAAATTCGTGTTATTTCGATTAAAAATGTTGCTCTTTGGCTCTATAGGATGGAATGGTAGTCGAGTTGCAGACGTTTCGTTGCAACGACGTGGTTCAAGTGGTGAGATTCTAAATTCGGTGGCATTAATAAAATCAAATGGATGCATAAATCCACAGATGCAATCAGTGTGTTCGGTACCGCCAGTATTCGAACCACCGTTAGGCTATCGTTTTGGCTTTCGTGCGGTCATGTTTCAAGGTATGAAAAGTGGCGATGAAATGAT